GCTTAAGCTAGGATCTGGAAGTCTTTAAATACTTCCAAGTAGTTACAAGCTTTGGCTAGGAAAGAAGTGTGTGTGTGTGTGTGTGTGTGTGAAGGGGCACAGGAGAAAGAGTACGTGAGCAATGCTACTGCTATCAGGTGGCTTAAAATAACTTGTGACAAAGCCTTGGATTGAGCACCAATTATGAGCAAGTTGCAGAACAATGCAGGGCCCTCCGATTACACCCAGATGCCCTTTCCAAGTGCAGCTGCCTAGATATAAAGAAATTTAATGAATCAATGTGTCACACAGGGCATGTGCTAGGTGAGAGGTCAATAATGATTGAATCTTTAAAAATAAAATTAAAGGCAGAAACACTGCTCAACAATATAGGCAGCAATATGACGGTGTCCTCAGCCACGATGAATGGTCATTAGGGAAATACCTTACATGAATACTAATTTGCGTAAAGAAAATAATATGAGAATTGTGTTGCTACAACCTAAAGCCAATAACAGTTGAGCCAGTTGGTCAGGTATCAACCATGGAGCTGGCACTCATTGCTACTTTGTCAAGCCGCAGCTCTTCTGACAAAGCCTTACAGAATGCTCTGTTCACTTTTTGTGAAGAAACAGGGCTTTCAGACATTTTGTTCTGGGTTTTTACTTGGTTTCAATGGTCGCTTTTTTGCTTCAAGGGCACCTCCTGCTTAGAAGAGTCCAAAGTTCAGAGAAAGTTGTTCACAGAAGAGTAAGAAATCTAAGAGGTGATGTTTTCCTTACAACATTTTGCACAGGGAGGGTCAAAGTTTCATTCTAGGCATCTGGAAATTAAGGGAAAATAGAAAATTAACCCAGACTTTCCTTTCCTCCTGTTTGGGTAAAAGGGGGTGGGTAAAAACAACAACTGTATATAGGTCATGTTTAACAATAGATCAACTAGTCAGATGGTTGTGAAGTCAGAAACGTGAAGGCTTGAAACTGCAAGAGAGAGAAAGGGAATGAAACAATTTAAGAGGCCTGGAACCCTGGAAGATGTTGGTGGGCACAGTTAGGCATTGCAAGAGTAAGGAACCAGGAGAGGACTGTGAAGAAGCTTAGAAGTGGAATGAAACCTTCACAATCCTTTAAATCTAGTTCAACATTACAAGAAGAATAAAGTATTACAGTGGCTTGTGCTTACAAGAGTCCAGACTAATTCAAAGAAAATAACAATCATGGGTGACAGACAAGAAGATACTGTAGTAGAGGAGGCAGACATAAAGGGATTGAGCTAGAATGAAGACATTTTGCTCCCGCAGGCATCCAGGGGTTGGAGAAGGCTTGAAGAGAGATGTAGAGTGGCCAAGTGAGTGTTAAACCTGTAATGCTAAACTGTTTGGGAATCTGAACTATTTAGTAATAGGAAAGACATTTCCTGAAGGGTTTTAGCTCTAGTTCAGAGGTAGATTAATGATAGTGCTGGAGAGAAAGGGACATTAATTGCTAGTTAATGCATGTATGGAATGGTTATGAGGGATATCATTGTAGGTTTCCTGCCACAAAGAGGCAGGGAGGTCACAAGGGACATTTGGCCAATTAGAATTCAGAGTCAGGTGACCAAAGTGCCCCTCGTGGAGAAATGTGGTGATGTTTCTCCAAAAATACAGATTTAGATTTAGTCCAATTACCAATGGAGGATTCTTTTACTGACCTCAAGGTCAGTAAGAGTATATACTTGATTTAGATATAGCAAAATTGCCAGGGGCTAAGCTTGTAAGCTTGTTTACAGTTTTTGCCACTCTAGCACGTGTGTATATACAGCAATAACTCAGGACACGAGCACATGGAAGCTATAATAATTTTTTTAGTTTTCAAAGGAACCACAAGTGTCTCTTTTTGTCCATAGATTCCATTTATTTCAATCTAAGTGTAAAAGCAGGTTTGTTTTTCATCAAATGAATCACAGCAGCTGCTTCAATTTTTATTTCAATCGCTATAAGTGCAAGATGCAGTTATTTGGACTGACGGAATATGTGCAGAGTCTACGAACACCTTTCAAATGTTTGAAAGCTGCACATCAAGAACATGAAGTCAGACTCAAGATCAAAGAGAGCTTCCCAAGGCAGGCAAGTGAATGAGGTAATCAAATAACAGAAAGGTTGTCATGTTGTAAATGTGAACCAGAGAACCTCCCAGAAATTAAAAAGAAGAAACAAAAAACAAGTTTTAGAGAAGTTGTTATTACTTCAGAAGCAGAGCCAGGAACCCTTGATCTTGCAGTGGCTCAATAGCAAACAGAAGAGTACTGTATTTTTTTCCTATACAAAACATAAATTGGTGTACAGTAGTTCATTCTTCTAAGTCATTCCTTCATATAAAAATGTATCAAAAGAGAACCTGCAGGAGTTAAGAAGTGAGTAGAGGGCAAGATAAAAATGCAGTTTTCAAATGAATAAAACAATGGAGACTATGTAGACAAAATATTTGACAGACTAATGATCTATAGGGTGGAAGGCAATAAGGTTAGATAGCTAATTTGGTTGGCATAATTATTGCCTCATCATCAATTCAATTTCTTACCTACCCTTAAGGTCCCAGGACCTTAGAACTAAGTACAAATCAGAGTAGGCTTGAGATCGCTTTTAGCCTGAGATCTTTCTTTCATTCTGAAAGAATGGTGAGGTTTTTCAATAATCAGCTGCAGAAACTGCAAAAATACAAACTGATAAGCCAATCTTTTATTGAACATTGAGTGTATGGGGTGATAAAATACAGGATGATTATGACTTTGTCCCAGGCCTTTGTCACCTCAACTCACTATTTTGTTCAGATATTAATTATTCTTTTCAAAACCTAGCTTGTCCCCCCCCCGATTTAATGTTATAAATACTGAAAAATGATAATACAGTGGTGCCTCGCAAGACGAAATTAATTCGTTCCGCAAGTCTCTTCGTCTTGCGAGTTTTTCGTCTTGCGATGCACGGTTTCCCATAGGAATGCACTGAAAATCAATTAATGCGTTCCTAGGGAAACCGCCTTCAGACCAAGTCCGGGGACAGTCTGTCCCCGGACCTCTTCTGAAGGCTGGGGGGGGGACAAGGGCTTTTCTTCCCACCCCCAGCATTTTAAAAAACCCCGGGGCGATCTTAAAATGCTGGCGGGCGGCATTTTAAAATCGCCCCGGGACAGCGGAGGACTTCTCCGCTGTCCGGGGCGATTTAAAAGCCCCTGGGAAGGCAGTCAGGGGGGACAAAGACTTTTGCCCCCCGCCAGCCTTCAGAAGAGGTCCTGGACCTCTTCTGAAGGCGGGCGGGGGGCGAAAGTCTTTGCTCCCCCCCGCCTGCCTTCCCGGGAGAGCGGAGAAACACAGCGTGTTTCTCCGCTGTCCCGGACGGCTTTTGAAGGCAGGCAGGGGGGAGCATAGACTTTCGCCCCCGCCCGCCTTCAGAAGAGGTCCTGGACCTCTTCTGAAGGCAGGCGGGGGGCGAAAGTCTTTGCTCCCCCCTGCCTGCCTTCCCGGGAGAGCGGAGAAACACAGTGTGTTTCTCCGCTGTCCCAGACGGCTTTTGAAGGCAGGCGGGGGGGAGCAAAGACTTTCGCCCCCCCGCCCGCCTTCAGAAGAGGTCCTGGAGCATCGTCCCGAAGCCGGGCGGCGGGGGCAGGTGTTCCCTCCCCGCCGCCTGGCTTCGGAGCATCGTTCCGAAGCCTGGCGGCGGCGGGAGGAGGTGTTCCCGCCCTGCCGCCCGGCTTCGGAGGAGCCTTCCGAAGCCCGGCGGTGGCGGGAGGAGGTGCTCCCGCCCCGCCGCCAGGCTTCGGAGGAGGTCCAAGGACAGTGGGGAAGACGCGCTGCGCTTCCCCGCTGTCCCGGATATTTCCCTATGGGCTGTCGTCTTGCGAAGCAAGCCCATAGGGAAATTCGTCTTGCGAAGTGCCTCCAAAACGGAAAACCCTTTCGTCTAGCGGGTTTTCCGTCTTGTGAGGCGTTCGTCTTGCGAGGTACCACTGTAAATGTGATTTGATACAAGGCCCGTTGTAGTACTTCCATTCATATTTTGTAGTGCTTTATATCAACTCTGATGCAATGACCCTAAACAAACTTATTTACAAAGAGCAATACAGCTTCTTTTTCTAGATAACTAACTTTAGGATTGGGGTGTAAGATGCTCACACTATTAATAGTATGCATAAAATTATAGTAAAAGTACTTAGGTCACAAAGTGATTTCAAACATGACTTCTATACAGAAAAATCTCAGCTGCTGGGGTGAAGAGATTTCAGTCTCTCGCACCTGTGCCATAGATTCCATTTGCTTTTATTAGATGCAATCTATTACTCAATTTATATATTAAGACAACATTCAACAGATGGGGGAAAGGGCATGAGCTAGGAGAAGCTAGTAAAAACCAAGTTGTTCTGGCTACAACCCAAACAGACAGGTGGCAAGTCTTTGCAGCCATTTTCAAATGACATCCACATACTAGGTTGCATGGTTTTGAACCTTGGCACGGGTTTAGTCAAATTTAGGGGCACAATCTTAACCTTTTACACACACACACACACACACACACACACACACACACACAGGCTTTGCTGCATCTACAGCCATGACAGAAATTAGGGGATGAACGATTGGGCTTCATCACTGTGACAACTCCTGGCTAGGGCAGTAATTGAACCCAATGCCATCATACAAAAACTGAGGGCAGTTTGAGATCCAGTGGGTCCTGGCCTGGCTCAGTCGTACCCTCCAAACACCATTTTGGGGTTTTCTGCTGACTCCTGTAAGCATGGATACAACCATGTTGGCGACACTTTTGTCACTCCATTGACAGCACCTGGTGGGAGGCCACCTCAGTTGGAGAGCTTGGAGAAATGGACCCTTTGGTCTAATCCTCACACACTCCAGTCCATTTTAAGGCATTATGCAACATTTTATCCTTATCCATACTTTTCCTGATATACATATGGCACGTTCTTCTGCACGCTCTTTTCTGTGCATATTCATTTTGTTTCAATGCCAAGAAACAACCCACAAGTATAAAAAGTTAGAAAACTGACACAAAATTTAATTTGAAGAAATTGATTAATCCCTTAAATAAACCTTAAAATTTACACAGACGTGATTAAGATTTTAAAACTTTGCAACAGTATTAAAGAACACACAAAATTAAAATGTTATGTAAACTTAAGTAACAAGAGCCTCCTTAATAGTTTTTTTAAAAATACAATATATTACATGTTTGGTACTTGCAATGTGCCAGTACTTATTTAGTATGTTTCTATACAAATAACGAACAAGAGCTTTCTTATTCCACACAACTATGAAGTCAGACATTTAATGGAATTGTTCCAAATTGCTTCTTTAAGTGGTGTTTTTACAGACAATGGTGTGTGTCCTTACATATATATATATTCAAGCATGAAGAAGTCATCATTATGATCAAGTATTATTTCCAGAGTACACATTTATAATACCAGAAATAAGTGTTTCAATCGTATCTGTTTGGGGGAAGAGTTTCAACAATATTTTATACCAACTCAAAATTTATCTTCTGTTGAAACACCATGTTCTCTTTGTGGAATTGCTAGTGTTGCTTGAGATATTCTATCTGATTCATGAAAGGATGAACAAAACTCAGGAACTACAGCTGACTCACATGATGCTTGGAAGTCATGGCAATTATCCAGAATGCTGGACGTAACAGGAACAGTGGCCTGAATGGAAGAGAAAATTAAATTATTTGCAAGTGATGAGACTGAAACAACTAAAATGTATTTTGGAACCCTGTTTGTGGCTTTCTAATACTGTAACTAAGCAGAAGCAGCAGGAACAACGGAGAAGGAAACAAGAAGCAGGTGAAAAGGACACCTGTTGGTAAGTCTTATTAATATCCTCTCTTAGCATGCTCCTATTAATTGCTTTTGGTCCCACTGGTCCATTTGGTAATACGGAGAGGTTTGCCAATATAACAGCCAATTTCACAATGTTGTATTAGGCATCCCTTCTGTAATTTTCTAGACATTTCACACAATGGTACTGCTCTTTTAACAGAGTCTGCATTTTTAACAGTATTCAACCAAGTAAATTTGTACAAGCACAGCATATGCACAAGATAAAACATCATATTATGACTGAAATTTTTTATTTGCTACTGAAACCCACTTTTCCGACATCTGTATCCAAAGCTGTTATGTCTTGCAGATCCTGTTGTTGCTATAAAGAGTTAACTCCAATTGCTGGGTGTGGTTTCCTGCTGGCTTGCTCTGTTACTAAATCATGTAAAATGCCCCATTGCTTATGCGCCGGGACTGTACACTCTGGGCAAGACCATCAGTCTTATTTGAAACAGACTATTATTTAAAAGCTCTCTTACCTGCTGTAAAGAAGCTGCTGAAACTGATTTACCATTTAACTCATCACCGTACGGTGGTAAAACATTCTGCATTGCTTTCTCCTGTTTGAAGCCTACACTTCTGAAACCAAAACTAGCAGTGTTCTGCTCCTTGACAAACTGGGCCAGACCTAAGTACTTGATTTGCAGACATTTGTAGATTGGCTGGAATCAGTCCCAAGTGTTGTAGTGTAAGTTCATAACTGAAGCGCTTGGGGGCTTGGATCGAGTCAGCCTGGTCTGAAGTCACAGCAGTTGCCCATTCACCATGGGGACAGTAGCTACAGAAGATGCGGGTAGCTTTAGGTTCAACAGGTGCTATATGAAAAGCAGGGAAATTAAAACGGGCAGTAAATTCAGACGTCACTTGAATGCCACCTATGAGAAGAAGAAAGAAAGAATAAACCATCACAACATGACAATACTTCTGCATCAAGGAGCACAGGCCACATGGTTGGCAGGCGTCGGACACCAGTCCAGCCAATACACCAGGCAGCTTGGTCACCAGCCAGGCTTCAAGAATGAATGGCACCTTAAGCCCTGGCATAGTGATATTAATGCACAAACTATCACATTATAAGAAACTCAGAAAAGGTCCTGCAACAACAAAATGACTCACCTATTGGTTTAAATACATTCAGTAACTGAAAAAACACCCACCCCTCAAGATCAGAACATGGAACATATGTAGAATGTGGATGTTTGTTTTAATTGGTTTTTTCCTTTATTGTTGATTTTATGTTTTGAATGATTTGCTGTGTTGTTTTTATGGATTGTTACTGATTTTATTGTTTTATTCACTTTGTAAACTGCTTTGAGGTTGTTTTTTTGTAAACAATCCAGTGGCATATCAATTTTATGAAACAAACAAACAAACAAACAAACAAACAAAAAGAAGTGCTTGAAGGAAATGAGAACTATAGGAGGCAATAAGAACATTTATTTAATGAATTGTTAAATGGATAACAAAAATGTTAGCTTTTATCTCTAGTTTTGTAAGCCCTCTGTAAATGAGTTCAGAACTGTTAATACATATTGTACTGAACCGATTAAATCCATCTTCTTCAGATCACAGAAAGTGGAACCATGTGGAACAAGCCATCATTGCAAAAGCTGAATGAGGAGGGCACAGGCCTCAGGCATGCAATAGCTGTAGTTAAATTTCCCACCTAAAGTCCTTCATCAATAGCTGACAGGAGTCATCAGATATAAACAAGTCTGGAATACTTTAGAGGCACAGTTAATGAATACACACCAGCAATAGGAGAACTATAAGACTTCTGTTCTGCTGCACACATCTCAGCTTTCTCCTTGTTAGAAAAAATGGTCTCATTACCAAGCTTGGTACAGTGAGGAAGAGGTATAAGGTATCCTGAAGGAAACCAAGTCTAAAGAACAAGGGGAAATGTGCTGTTTATATTCACAACAATAATCAACACAAATTTCATAGATTTAGCCCAGGTTTAGTTCCTAAACAAGAAAGGGCCAAAATAGATATGATATGGCAGAACAATGACTGGATCTCTTGATGTCTTAACAATTAAAGAAGCCACTGGGACTGAAGGAAAACGGTAAGAGAACTTAGCCATGCCATTTCTAAGATGGAAAACCACCCCTCTCCGCAAAGCAACTGTTACCCATGGGTGGGTGCGGGGTTATTCAACATTGGATCTCCAAATGATGAAGTTGGACTACAATTCCCATCATCCTGGACTATTTACTGGCTAAGATGGGAATTGTAGCCCAATATTTGGAACCCCAAGTTTGATATTGCACTTGTCCAATACTGCAATGGATAATAATAACTTTGTAGGAGGGAGAAGATCGTAAACAACCACCACACCGATGCAATTTTGGACCACCTCATGCTCAATTCATGCCACACTTCTATGTTTTCCTTCTTCCTCTTTTTCCACGCCACATTAAAAATGAAGACCTTATGTATATGAAGCAAAAGGCATCCATAAATGATGATGAAAATTAAACATATTTGGGGTGGGTTGATATAAATACAACATTCAACTTTTAAGAAAAATGCAACTATGTGTTTGTGCTCTACAAGCATGCAGA